AACCGAGCGCTACTCTTTCATAATCCTTCGTCTTAGAATTCATATCATAAACAGCACATACGTTTGCAAGTCTCTCGTAGCAGTGCTCCGTGATACTTTCTAAGACCGACAAACAAACCAGCAGAGACCGACCGCTCTTCAGTTGACTCGACTGGCGATTATATTAAATTCGAGTCCTGCTGAGCGCTGCCGATCTCACCCTGTGAATTGTATTCATTCAGTCGACCTAACTGGCGATTATATCAAATTTAGGTCCTGCTTGAGCAACTTATAGTCCTTACTCTCACCCTCTACCTATTCTAGTAAACTACGTTCATCGAGGTTGACTGACTGGCGATTATACTAAATTCAGTCCTAACGTGAACGACGTTTACACCCTAGAGACTCGATAGTGGTCTTAGTCATTTATTTAATTATAAGCACTCTTCCTTTAGTCGACCTGACTGGAGATCGTATTAAATTTAGGTCCTACTGGAAGCGCCTACTTACTATCTTTATTCTTAATATTACTGTCGACCTTATAGTAACTTACTCTTTAAATTACGAGTATACTTTCTTTAGTTAACCTAACTAGAGATTATATTAAATTTAGGTCCTACTGAAAGTGCCTGCTCGTTCAGACACTTTCAACAGTCGATTACGTCTATCGACTTCGAGCAAACTGCTCGGTCGGTCTCGCGCGGCCCAGAACAATTGTCGCAGCCTGCGTACTACACGAATCAATTAGCGCAGACTGCGCTTCGTAAGCAACTGCGACTTCACTAACGAGACTCAGAGTATATTTAAGTCTCCCCTATCGAATCTTATTCTCTCGACCCTCATACCTCTCGATTCTTTCGATCCTCTTACCTCGAACGAACCTCTATTACGATTAAGGTATACTTATACTAGAAGAGATTGGAATTTCCTTATACACTGCCGAAGAGCTTGGAAACTGTTTGAAAAACCTTCCCGTGGATCTTTCTAGACACTCTTCTAGTCTCACTACTGGTTATAATCCCTCGTGGTTAGACTTAATTAGGATTTCCTTTACTTAGGGTCTCGAGTAGTAAATCGAGGTTGTAAACTCCACTAATCGACGTTATTTTATTAATATTCTACCGAATCCGGTAATTAACGCTTAATTGGTCACCTAATGGCCAATATACGCTCGAGGTCTCGGCAAGGCCGGGATCCTAAGCGTAATCTAAGCGCTATTCGTAGTTCCCGCCGATCTATACGCTCTAAAGCCTTAGGCTAAGTATCCTAATCTACTTAAGCGACTTAGTCTACTGTCTAGGCTAACCCATAAGACTCCGATATCCGCCCTTCTATTAAAGTCCCTAAGCCACCGGCACCGCGTATCTCTACAAAGACTGGCTTACCTATATAACTAGGCCACTTTATAAGTTCGCCTATAATACCACCCCCGCCTCGCAAGACTCGCGCCGTTATACGCTCCTAGCTAGCGTCTATGTAACCTAGTCTAGATCCTAATCTAGCACTCGAACCTGATTTACTAGACCCTAAACTTCTAGGTTACTCGAAGACTTAATAATTAATCGATAATAGACTAGATGACTTCGACTTGTCTTATATTCCCGAGGAAGAGGAAGACGTCTATATTAACCCTATGCCTACTCTAGATCTAGAAGCTACTTAAGAAATAGAAGAAACTCAGGATACGTAACCTACCCTACTAATAACTAAGAAATCGAAAGTAAAGTTGTCGAAAGACCCTATCCTAGTGTCGGTAAAGAAGTATAGGATAGGCTTAGACCTATTCTTCTTACTATACTAGAAGATTAAAGATAATAGCGCTATTATTTTAGATAAAGGCCCTCTAGGATTAAAAGCTAATAACTTAATATTTAATTCGGCTAAGAGCTTTAAGGACTACGTAAATAATAATTCCGACTAGATATTTCGTCTCGTTCGACGTTTTATAGGTAGAATAATCTAAGCGTATAAATCTGCCGCTAAACTGAAGGAAGCTACTGAAAAACGACGTATAGAACTTACTTCTCTACTAAACGATATTAAAGTTAAAGAAATGCGTATTCTAAAGCTATAAATACGGAATCACGAACTCGAAGAGTCTATAGAAGAGCTCTATATAAAGAGTGATAATTTGGAAGAATCCCTACGGGATAGTTTATCTTAAGTAGTAGAACTTCGGAACCTCCTTAACGAAGTAGAATAACGTTACCGAGACGACTAATCTACCTATTAGTAGTGGATTGATTACTCGACCGAATTACAAGCCGACTTGGAAACTATAGAAGCTGAGACTATAGTATTACGTGCTGATATCGTAGATCTAACGAAACTCCAATCTAACAATGCCTAAGTAAAGGCCGATAATAAGACGCTACGTACTGAGAAGATTTAACTATAGA